GGTCGTTGGCACACACGCCTAAGTGAACAAAAATAATCAAATCCGTTGCTGTCTTCACATGCACATCGTGGTTAGGCCAAGTTTTTCACCTACTTGCGGTTCATTTACATTCTCGTGTAATGAGTTCAATTCAATAATAGAGTACTGGCGGCCGATTCATCCTAAATTCTACAAATTTATCAGCCTTTTTTGTTTAATGTTTTGCCACTGAGAAACGACATGAAGCATGTCTTCCTTTCACTTCTCAAGAAGCCAAGCCCGGTTGATGGGTATGTCATCAGCTGCAAGCATATACATTATACAATATACACGCTGTAGGGATATATTCGAGCCTTTTATCGGTGTGGTGTGAAAATACGACGGCTACATTCTGCGTAACTTAGCTCCGCAAGTCTTAGTGTCCTTCGACAAAGCATAGATCACCAATGTCTCACATAGGGTTTTCCAGCTCAAATCTTCGTTCCAAGTTTGGTCATGGGCGCAAAGCTGCTACTGATCGAAATGCGACCAACTGAACGTCATTTTTTTGCGCTCAGTCTTCCTTATTGTGGACATTGCATGTCACTTTGCACGTCAACTATTGCACCAAGCTGTGCAATTGTGCATAAACCATCAGTATTTTGCTAAGGAGAGCTTTATTCCCATTGTCAGCCATCCTTGACAAGTCCTGATCGCCAACACAAGGACGTTGCGCTCTAAAAACGGCCATAATTTCACATTTTCAGTGTCGTGTTTCCTCGTTTCTGTCCAGTGACCGTATGCCATGAGACAAAGAGCCCTATCCCAATAGGGGGCAATAGCACGAGTGACTATACGGTCAGAGGTATTCGCGTTTGCCTTTCCTTTGTGCGATGTCAGCTGGGAGCCGTCACTGGGGCACGTAAGTCCGAGGCACGCTGTCATCAGTGCATTGAAACCGTTGCAACGGTCCTGGATGATGCATGGACGCATGTCTGCATGCATCTATCCACTGGCGCCGCCAGTCACTAGGCTGAGCGGACTGAAATAACGGCCGATGGACCGGACTGAATAACAATCACTTGCAATGATGGGAATTAGGACGAATGCATACGATGTAATGTTGCTATTATGTTTCCACTGGCTGGGCGTTTGATATACCATTCTATAAAAACAGAAGCAACGCGCATGAATTGTCATTTTTGCCCTGTCTAGCATCGCATCGCAGAGTTAACTAGACAGATAGGTACTGAGGCGGAAGTGGGCCAGACCTCCGTTGCAAGACCCTCTGCGGCTCCGCCGCAGGAACTGAGTCAGTTCCATGAAAACTACCGCCAGAACACCGGCTCACTTATCATTGAGAACAGAGGGACTCTTGTCTCCCACCCCACACCAGACCGACCCCCATTCTCCGATCTCCGAACCCCGCTAGACGTCCCGTATCCTGGGCTTTCATTTACCGGCGCTGTGATATTGTAGCTGCATCCCTCGGGCCGGTCTGCGTCTGATGAGCTCTCGCCGTCGTCATAAGATCCATATCAGTCCCTGCCTCGGGCTGGGGTCCTCTCCTCCCCTCCCCACCCCACCCGGATACGATGGCAGACTGCGTGGTGCCTCTCTCAGACCGAGGTCAAGAGGTCGACAGGACATGTGAGCTGGGCAGCGACGGCAGGGGGGGGGGACGGGGAGGGGAGGGGCACACGACTGGGAGGGGTACGGTGTATGTTTGTCGTTACGTGTCACGCTCAGGCCGCATGTTGCTGATGAGCTACAGATGAGGCCAGTGGGGAGAGAAGCGGGTCGGTGGCCACCGGATGAGGTCTGCGACCCCGCACTGCGTACTTCCTAGGCAGGATACCCATACGAACGGGACAAGGGGCACATCAATTTGTGCTTGTTGGGACCGGGTCCTGCATACACGCACTGTCACGTCGGCAAGATTGGTGGTGAATGGCGGACGACATTACAATAGGTCAATAAGACGTGGTCATTTCAGTTCAGTGCGCCTCAGTATGGATAATCGGAGCACAAGAGATATGCAATGCTTTTGTTTGACTTTTAGGTATTGTTGAAAAACTTGCAAGTGAAATACTGAACGTATGGTAATAGCATGAATGGTAAGCCTTTTCTTTTGAAGTTATCCCAAATTATTCTGTCTGCGATTCGGACTTATCGAGTTGATGAAATAACCATCTTTGAAATCTGAATTATTTTGTTTGGAAACTTCTACTGGATTTGCCATATCATTATAACTGCATGCGGAAAAGGATGTCTTGCCTATGCAAATAAGTATTATGAACGCACCAGTGGCCTCTGGATACTGAGCTCCAACTCCGACGCATTTCCCGTCGAAGCGACGCAGTTCGTGAGATTCCCACCATCCATAATGCAGCAGCGTTTCAGTCTAACATAAACACGGTGAACGGTATAAATGACCGTTCTAGGGGCTACGCAGGTTTTGTGTTTACTCAGAATTGGTAATGCGAACAAGATACAATACGCGGTTCGAGGTTTGGCTTCCCACGCCCTGTTGAGCGCTCGAGTAGTGGCACGTTCCTTTTGAATCGTTCCTGCAGGCTCGGTTAGCTAAATGGTCGAAGTCGTCCCTGAGAGGTCACTTCGCCAGGACTCAGAGCTTCCAAACGCCAGATAAAACCATGCAAAACTACCCTGTACTGGATAAACAGCAAATGCATACATTACGTTACATGACGACTCCTCTGCTGCGATTTCATGACTGACGCAACAACGTAAAATTACCATCCCAAGCGATGTGCGCGCTTGTCGGGAAAATCAAAGAATATAATGCAGTTATGCGGGTAATAGCATAGCTTACCGTCAAATCCATCTTCCACATATGCCCAGAGTAATGACCGAAGAAGACCAACAGCATAACGATAAACGACCTCCTAATGACGAAGGTGTTCTCCAGTCCCCTGCGACTCGTATCTGGTACAATCCAGTTATCGTGCGCCAACTAAGGATGATCCACTGCCGACTATACCGGCAGCCCACGCTAACCGTCGGGAAGGGTGCGTTACTGGTAGAAACCAGTAACGCTCACCGACACCAGTCGGGTTCAGCTCAAGACGGCAGCGAGGGCCGCTCCTGAGAGATCAATCCAGCCGGCATGCATGGATGCGGGCACCTGTATAAACAGGGGGTAGCGTTGGGCAATCGCTGCAGCGTATACGGCAGCACGCAGAAACCGGTCTGGAAGCTCTCAGAAGCGACATGCATGAATGATGCGTGACGTTCCAGGACAGGATCCTGCGAAAGGGAACTCTGGAAACGCGGTGTTCTGAAAAGCAGAGGTACCCGTACAGCACCCATCTTACGTCATTGTTGCGCGAGGTTATGCCCGTTACACAGGGGCGTCGACGCGTAAGGAAAACTGGTCCGACTTTTTCTCGGGGGGCCCCCACCGGTGGGGGCCCCCAGGTGTCGAGGCGCAGCAGGGCCCCCGCGGTCTCTAGCAGGGCCCCCCGAGCCGCAGTAGGGCCCCCGCGGTCTGCAGCAGGGGCCCCCGCGAGCCACAGCAGGGCACCGCCTAGTCGAAAAAGTGGTCCGACTAGTCGGAAAAGTCGGACCGGTGTCGACGCCCCTGCCGTTACACCTCTAACGGTCAATGACATCACGGGAATCTGATCGGCATCAGCTCAGTCTCAGCGTAAAGCACGATGGCGTAAGGTTCGTCTGGAAAACTGTGAATCAACTGATCGATATGTCATGCATTATTAGCATTTATAACCGTCAATTGAGCATTTCGATAGCCATGGCATATAAATGACATGTGGGCGTGGGGAATGTTTATGAGTGTGGTTACATAAATGACCAATTGAAGTATAAAAGGAAAAGCGTTCAACTTTTTCTTGGTCGCGTCTATTTAACTATGTAAGCCTGTAATGATCACTAACTTGTCATCAGAGGACAGATTCGGTCCATTTGGTGCACGATGTATTTACATTATCCCATCCTGCAGGGTGCAGAGAGAGCGATAATGGTCATTGTCGGCTTCGACTTAGCGTTTATATCAGGTCCTCACTCCTACCATGACCGCTAGAAGGACAGCAGAAGATCACCGGCACCGCCGACCACATCGATCAATATTTACCTGACGGGATGTAGGCTAGCTACTTCAAAGAAGGCTGCCCCTATAGCAGGCGTTTCCGATATGCGGTGTCACATCAGGGAACAGACAGACATGATACACAGATCAGTCAGTCAGACGCCTAACGGGCTGCTCTGCCTGGAAGAAAGGGCCGCTCAGTTACTCTGAGCAGGGCATATGATCAGAGAGTTGGCAAGCCGTGCAACGGGAACATCAAAAGGTTCGTGCGTGGGCGTGTTTATTAACAACTGATTTTAAGGATCCCGTTGTTCCATTTGTGCCTTTTGATCTTGGGTAAGAGCAGTTTAGCAATTATACATGGGCTTGCAGATGGAAAATATGGAGATGGACTCGTAAGTGGCAGACCGACAATAATCACCTTGCTTTGGTGAAACGATAAAAGGAAGGTCGAAGAAAGAAAAACATAAAAGTGACGTCACATTCATCCAGATATTCATATTCTCCACTGCCATCCTCCCGCCATTGATCCGTTGCCGGTGTCCGCCACCGATGCCACTCGGCACGACAAGAATGTGGCGGCGCTGCCACTCCTCTGGCGGTGGCCGGTGACTGGTCTCCACCGGTCTGGACCCGGTGCCCGCGGCTCGGGGGTGGCCGGGTTCGGTGCCAATTGACGCCGCGAGCTAATCGATCCTCTCGGCCCACCGTGACGCCTATTGATGAGTTTCTGGAACTGCACACTGTGCCAGGCATTTCCGAGTGGTTTTAGCAGTTTGGCAGAGAAGCTAGGTGGATGTGGAGATCCCGCCAGGCCGGGAGGTGCGAGACGCGGCGACGGAGAATGATTGAGGCAATAAGGTTTTAAAGAGGTGGCCCGGATACGCCTAGTTTCGAGAAAAACTTTGTAAACAAACCTAGTTTGATGAAGCAATCAATTGATGGGTGTTTCCTGTTGCACTTGGCGAAGTCATTCCATCCTCCATTTTTATTCAGGACCGACCGCACATCTTTGAACAACATCTTGCACTGATGCGTACATTTCGGGGTTCACTGCGCAACCGGGCCAACCTTCGGTATCAGTCTCAGTTTATATGACCAGTTTGTCTAATGCAAAGTGATTTGTGTATTTACCTGTCCGCGATTTCAACAATGAGCCTTCTCTCGATAACAAGAGCACCACACCACATAACGGCGAACCTCCTTTCACTTCCGCGCCATCCGTCTTGTTCCGCCACACCGGCCTGCAGCGGGACTTCAGGGTGAGCAAGAGTGTTGTCAAGTCAGCGGCAGGTCATGTCAGCGTGGGTCGGTAATGATTATATTTGAGTATGGTCAAGTCACGTCAGGTCATCACTTGGCCATTGGTCACCTCCACGGCTCGTAGCCACCTCGGGCGGGGCAGGTCAGGTTAGGTAAGCGCTTGGCCATCAGTAGTCATCTACGGGTGGCCCAGGTCAGATCAGTAGTGGGTCAGTGATGATGAACTCGGGTCGGGTGAGGTCAAATCAGCTCAGCACTGGATCGGTGATGGTGACCTCAGGTCGGGCCAGGTCAGTATTGGGTTAGCAATGGTGACCTCACATCGGATTTAGACGGTACTGGGTCGGTGATGATGACCTAAGGTCAGGTCACTCAGCGGGCGCTGCCGGCGCGCGGTGAGCGCGACTGAGTGTTGTCGGTCGGCTGGGAGGACCCGGAGCGCGGGCTCTCGGTCAACTCCGGCAGCACGGTAGGCGCGTCCACCGGGGTGAACGGAGAGATCTCCGGCGGCTCAAAGTCGCCGTCCTCCTGGCTCAGAACCAGCACCAGCGTCGTCGGCCTGAGAGAGCGAGGAGGGGGGTCACGGAGCAGCCGCGGTCAGCGCCTGAACTCAGAATACCAGTCGAGAGCACGCGCTGTGGGATAATGCAGCACATCTCAACACAAACGCTTGTCGAAATAGAAACTCTAAAATATACATCAAACAGTATTTGACCCATCACTAAAATATCAACAACTTCACGCTAGTTGTTTCTCCGTACAATTGATGAGTAATGAGCTAACCCTCAGCATTCCTATCATGAGCCCTTACACGTTCTAGAAAGTTTTCTCATCCCAGCGCGACGCCTCAAGGAAAACCAAAGTAAGGCTGATGGGCAGAAGTATCATGAGATAAAATTAAAGTAGCCATACTGACATCCTCGCTGAGCTAACACAAAAGTAAATTATTTTGTCAAAAGCAAACATCATACCCACCTGTATAATGGAGAGCCTGCAGCTGTTATGCCCACAGATTCAAGTGTATCAGAGTCCTCTAGAATGACTTCATTATACATCAGACGCTGGTTGTCGGGCGGAACCTTCAACATCTTCTCCAGCATTCTCTTCAGCTCCAACGTGGATGTCGATTTCTTGGCATCTGTTACTACAGTTATCTTTTTCCTTCTTATCATGAGATACACTTTTGCCTCTGGATTGGCAGACATGGCAAGTAATATTACAAACAGGAACAGGAACAGGAAAATGTTACCAACATAAATATACCTGCACTTCGGAAAACTGCAGCTCTGTTGGGATCTGGGATCGGCAACTGACCTCTGGTTAGCTCTTTAGGTTAAAACTTCTAAAAACGGCAAACAGTGATAAATGACGTCACAAAATTTATTCACAGATTAAAGAGGCGCCTCAGGTTGTCTTGATGTGTCGTGTGTTTTGGGATGAATCAAATGTGTTACCTTCTTTATAGGAAAACTTTGGGAAAACTTGACAATTTCGCACGTGTCTTGCACGGTAAAAGATGCCTCGTCCGTGCGTCACCGCGTCGGTTATATTTGCGGTAGGCAAGTAAAGGTCACTGGTAGTCTTCTCGACGCCAATGACGTCTAAAATGATAGATTGATACGCTTTGGAAAACCATTATGCGTAATAAACGCAACACAAACATCGTAAATCTTTAAATTGTTTGATTGTGGACAGCTTTTCTGCAGTAAATGCGCAACCCACTGACGTTCAGAAGACAATATTGACATCTTATCTTGTCAATGGCAGCCGGTGACTTCTGATCTGATGACCCGGTGATGCGACGAGCAGTCACCGTTTGGTGAACACTCTGTCACCGTTTGGTGAACACTCTGTCACCGGACCTCATTACGCAGTGACGGACAGTTCAGCTCGGTGCCAGGATCCACAGCCGGCTGGCTGATTGATCCCGGCGCCCTGCCACCCAGCTCTCCGAGAGCTGACACGCCTCACCGCAGCCGATGTAAATTTAGCCGCCGGCGGTTGGGATGCAGGGGCGACGCTCCAGCGTCCCGACGCATCGGCTAGATGGTAGTGGGGGTGGGGGGGGGGGGAGAGCACAAGGAGGGAAGAACCGCCAACGACACATGTGAGACCGAAAACAACAGCAGCTGGCTCTCCAAGCATCCTAATCCTGCGTATTCAGTCGTCTGCCCGCGTTAATCGAGACTAGACGAGCCCCGCACCGGTCCCACAGCGGTCATCTCACAGGTAGCCCCGTGTCGTTCAATTTCGCTGAACAGGTCCCATTAGGTCTGCAGAGGCCACGTGCTTCTGCGGCCAGCCACAGAGACAAGACCGGTGACACGTGGCATGGCTTCGCCTCTGATCATGGGGCTGTTACATCACATACGCTGAATATTTTCGAGCATTATGCCTGGTCTTGTGGGCGGTGGGTTGGCTATAAAGTGCTTCGTTATTCAACAAAACCCACACGTTATCTGATAAAATAATGCCTATAAGCCACGAATTTCATGTCATTCGTCTTAAAAGAACACACCTATGGAATATTTGTGTAATCTGAAGGATCCGAAAACGAGTTTACTGAATGCCAATCGCTTTGGGTGTGGCAATTGGCACGTAGGTATACGAATGTAACACCATTCCAATGAGGCGGCATCTCAGACTGCTGGCGTGCCGGCTGTCCAGAAAAGGCGGCAATCTGAACCAGCCACTCTGACGCTGATGCTAATGAAGATTGAAGACTGAAGAGGCATGCTGTTATGAGTTCCCTGCATGATCATAGGTATGACTCTTATTCGGATGTTCGCAATATTGTTCACGGGCTGTCTGCTGTCACTTTTTACGAAGATACTCGTACATGCAATGTGTGACATCAAATTCTCAATAAACTGTAACGTAGCTGCTTGCCAGAAATAGTAAATAATAAAAATCAGCCCCTCGAATCTCGCCTTATCCAACCGAGCGACTTTTGAGTGGCTACTTCTTGCGCGCATCATCATCAAACGTCACAATCCGCACGTCATCGTGCCAAATACGTCAGTGGGGAGCGCGTCAGCGAGTGCCGTCAGGAAGCTCAAATCACTGGTCGTGCGTCAGGCTCACATCATGGCCAGAGTGGCGGGCCTGACAGTAGTCGAAGGCTGGCCAGTTCATAGGCCCTCCATGGCGCACGTGCCACGGGGACGTGACGGGTTGCCAAGCTAGGCGGGGTGGCAGGTTAGAGAGGGGGTGGTAGGGCAGTGGGCAGGAACACAGAGAGGGAAGGGGAGGGATTTATAGGCGTGCCGGAAGACCAGCCTGTGCCCCTGAGACACCCGATATTGGGCAGGCCCTCTCGCCCATGACAACCAAACAAGACGTAGCCGCGGACGGCCGACGGTACACGAGACAAGCGACGTAGTACGGACGGGTTTGGCGGTGTCGAGGCGGACGAGGGACACTCGGTGACGTCAGTCGGCTCCCCTGTGATCATGTGTCAGTCGGTGAGGGTTGTATGGTACTTACAGTCAGCTAATGAATGATGCATCGGCTAGTAACAAACGACGGTGTATGCACTCTGATTTTACATCAGTTGCGTTTTAGGTGGCACGAAATGTGACCATGAGTTCCTGTGAATCTGATCACGGGTGGTGAATTCGTGCGCATTTGCCAGGATACTATACTCGGAATAAAGTTAATGATTCGTCTCCGCAGTTCACCTTTCCGAATGTCTCTATTGCTACCTGTCAGGAGATGCTCAGAGATATTCACTTTTCTGAGAAGCACATTGCCGATACACCGTTTGATGCACCACGTGGACACATTTACGTCAAAAACTCATGTAAAGTCCGCATATCCAATGTCGCCGCACACCGCTGGTGGCTACCGAAGATGCATTGTCGCTTCTAGTCGACAGGCATCAGCTAGATAAATCAACATGTTGCTGAGATACATGACGATGCACAATGCACATGTTTATTGGATGTCCTGTGGGCCGTTATTCCTTGCAATGATGCAATGTATAGGTTGCATGCTCCCAGCTTCTTGGTATATGAAGAGAGCCGCGCCAACTCACGGGGCTCGCTGACTGATCGCTTTCTGACCGCTGTCAGGCTCTTATTAGTGTAATATCTGGCCGTGAAATAAAGACGCTTTTCTGAAGGACTTTCTATCTGTGACGCCCAGCTCACAGAAGTTAAGTCCTATCTTGACACTTCGAGCGCCAGATATACCGGAGAACCGGGCGAAGCTAACTTTGGGCATCGATTCTCATTACCAGGAAGTGGTGCTCTAATGGCAGGCGTTTCCCGGAACCGTGCTGACAAATGGCATTGCTTGCAGTTATTTTTTTCGAATATATCTTTGATCGTTAGTAATTAAATATGATTTCCTTATTTTGATGAGTTGATAGGTATGCAAGATTTAATATCAAACGAATGAAGCAAATGTATATTTCAAGAATATCAGCCAGCGCACCTGTACTGAACGTAAGATTACGCAAGAAAATCAAGCGATGACTTTCTTCCCTCGGCTCCCCCTGGGAGAAGGGAAGCTCTCCTTCCCACGGGGAAGGGGAGCTGGGAGCATGAGCTGAACTACCAGCTCAGCTCATGCCACCGAATGAATATGAAGGAAGTCCACCTTATACGGAAAAAAGCTCGTCATAAGCAAATATTGCACGTAAGCTCGTGTTCACAGAAAAGGCGACACACACTGAAAACAATTTCACCCAAAACTGGCGAGTAAACCGGTGCCTCGCGGGTACCCCTATCCGCAACCATTTTTAACCACCCTGCCAGGAGTCAATTTAGGACATAACACTTTCGCAATTCACTCTGGAGAGTAGTAACCCTCCACGACTATTCGCGCACCAGTGGCTCGCGACCCCTCCATCGAAAGATATTCATCGACGCCTACCTGGCAGCAGCGCCCCACAAACCCCTAGGAGATAGGGTTACCCTCCACGCCTACCCTTCGCCGACCAAGTCACGAGGGCCAAAAAAAACTCCCACGCTTGACCATATTTGCGGGAAAATATCTATATTACAGCAATCTCACACCTAGAAAACATCGGTGGGAAAGTTTCACATCGGTGGGAAAGGTCTAATCGAATTCCCAAAGAAATTTCGACATGACTCAGTCACCGGCAATCATGCAGACCGCCCGAAATCAAGAAGATGTGTCGCCGCTGCTTTCGTGACCTATATAAGAATCAAAATGGTCTCACTTGGTAGTTTCGGAAGAAAAAGCGTTGCCAATCGTCCCGTGATGAATATTGCAGAGGTTTTAAAGATGCACCCTAACAATTGTACTTTCGCCCCGTGCACATGGAAACCGCCAAACAATGTGCCAACATATCATTGGTTCAAAAAAAAGTTAAAAATTGTTGTAATTCAAAACTGTATGAGACAACGCCATCTAGTTGTAACAGTAGATCCAACTCCTTCAGGGCAGGTTATGTAAAGGTTCGCCATCCACGGATACGCGTTTGCGATACCTCGAGTAGTTCCAACTCTTTCAGTGAGGGCTGTGCCAATGACTCGACACCCGTGGGGACAATATCCGGTGCTGGGTAGCTACCTTACTGCAGACTGTGGGTACAGTGTATATTTACGAGTAATAAGGCAGGCAAGTCTGCTTACCCTCTAGCTAGAATCTGGACATGGCGAGTTAATACACATATACCACCCGCAGAGCAACGCTTAATTCGCCAGCTTCGGGTGAAATTGTTTTCAGTGCACGCAGTGCAAAGATGATGAACCATGCCATTCCCCATTGCTGTTTTCAAAACATTTAGCTTCTGGGGTTTCAGGAATAAGTCAACAAATGAGTTCGCGTGCCAATATCAACCACATTTATAACCTGTGGTGTTAGCTCAAGCACCCAATATGGGCCGTATTAAAATATTTCTTTCGCTAGCTACAAACAAAACTGCAGCCGTGATCTTCGTTGCGTCACGAGTAGCCTTTGTCTTTTGTTCTGTATTAAATGTTAAATTACGCACATAGCAAACAGGTATAAATACGCGATTAGTCTTCGTCTTTTGTTGTCTATTAAATGTCAGTTTACGTAAATAGCAAACAGGTCGAAATACGGGATACAGCGGGATCAAACAAATGGCTCCCATTTGCGTCATGAACATTAAATACTTTATATTTAAGAACATGTGTATCGTCTAGTGTTTGAAGGTCGGATGTCTCATTTGCTTTATGACTTGCTATTTTGCGTCGTCACCTTTGAGGCTCCGTTAGACCCTCAGCTGTGTTGACAAGGTCGCCTAACGCACGACAGAGGAAGTTTCTGATCACGCATTGCCATAACTGCAGCTGCAGTTCTTTCCATGGCCGTAATGCGAACTGCTACGCAATGCTGTAGTATTTCCGAAAAATAACCCAGAAACACCTGAACTTACCTTAGAGAAATGGGGCAGGTGATTCACTGACTGTTGACGGCAAACTTGGTCCGCTAGGTTCCTTTATTTTCCTTTTCCTTGGTCATGTGCCGCTGAAGATCTAATTTTGACCAGGATGAGAATCAGTCTCCTTGTCCAGTCTGCCATCCTTCAGCCTTCAGGAGGTGTCGAAACTCGAAACCTCCGGACTAGCTGAATCTGGATCTTTGAAACATGAAAAAACGTTCGAGAACGTTTGTCGACTGTAAAAAATGTCACAAGCTGATTGTTTTTATGATTCGATATTTCTTCCATAATGAAAACAATTTAATTAACACCACACTTTATACTGTAAATAAATCAAATATGCACATAATTTGCATAGCTAAGAAAGGGATTAACTTGCAGCCAGCAGTCAAAACACTAACATTATGCAATCGGTGACATCACCCGTCCGACGGACCTCAAGAGAAATAACTCTCACGCCATGAACACCAGCCATTTCTAGCACTGTTCAGTAGCCGGAGAGCTACTGAACCACCGAGAGCTCAGGTCCATGGATGAGCACCATGTCTGATCCGACTGGTTGACCGTCTCCGGCCTCAGCTGAAGGCAGTTATCACCTGAAGTACGGCCACGGGCCACGGGGTACGGCATTATTTCTATCACGATCCGTGTCAGCCGTGGGTGCAGCTTTTTATCGGCTGCAGGAGCCAGAAACGGTTCTTGCGAGACAGCTGCAGTTGTAACGGCAAATGCAGCCGTTTGCGGTAAAGCGACGTAATCAACACTACATCAACATTAACACTGACACAATACCATTCAAAACTAATATCAAATGTACATGTGCTTGACCGGCTGAGGTGTTTACCCGCTGCTGCTGCTGGGCTGCCGGCAGTGGGTTGGGTTGGCTACCACTCCGGTCCACACCCGGACTCAGGTGCCGGCCGATGAATAGATGGCGCCACTGCAGCCCGATACAGCGCCACCGGAGTCGCAGCAGGATCTGGCCTCCGATCCCCTCCGTGGGAGTCGACATTAGTGGAGTCGTCATCCACATTCCCCAGGGATGCTCTGTTGCCTGTTGGCGTGTGATGTGATGCTATATGAGATAGTTGATACCCTTATGGAGTCCGCGAGGTAGATCCCACCTCCCACGTTTGCTGACGATATGACAGAATAAGCCGTCCGAGCACAGCGGGACGAATTGTCAATTAGGCTCGAACCGATGGGTGATACCCTATAGTCTTTTTACATTTGTTGAGTGACGCGTTATTGCGTGTGCTGACGTGGAAATCGTATCCCCGCTGCTCTAACCTGAGGCTTCATCTGACGAAACAGCAGGATTCACGCTAAATTAGCCTGGGTGGCGCAAATGTCACAGATTTGAGACTATGAGCATGCTTTTATAAATTATTTAATTTTGATCATGTCGACATAACACGCATCGCTTTTCGGACGTCGATATCAGGATGCTTTGCGAGCACAGTAGGTACGCGGGCGCGGGCATAAAATAATTAAATCCGGATTAATAAAATCCAGATGGTGTCAACTGCCAACAAAATGAGTTCAGAACTGATTGTAAACTGTTGTTGCCGGTTCGTCGCTGCGGAGCGTATCACCCACGGCTCCTCTTCGTCATGCCAGCATGGATGTCACTGAGGGCGGCTTCCGCCGCAAACGACTTGTTTTACATCCAACATCTTATTCAGGAGCTTCCGATAGAAGCTCGTAGCTTTATAGCATTGCAGAGCTCGTATGAGTGCAATGATAGAGAACGATGAGAAAAATAAAGAGCCTTTGTATTCATGTGTGTAAACATATTCAAGGCAATCGGTATTGGGTAAACTGACGATCGAATTCATAGTTCACTTGGGAATCATTTAACATTCGAGTACAGCATGGCCTCATGTGTAGGTACCATGTCGGGACTGACAAGCATCATTCCCTCGTAAACCAGTCTCCGGTAAATCTTACTGCTACCGATACTGACCAGACGCAAACCGATGCGACTCCATTGCCGAGACCATGGCCTGAGTCTGCAGAACACATAAACCGGGTGCTCCATGGGCAGAAGTCTAAGCTTTGATTCAGTTAATGTTGCAAATCGTTCACATAACGAAGCCAACCTCATGTATGGGGCTGGGCACATTATTTCAAATAGTGTATTCGCTTGACATTGGGTTACACGTGCAAATGAGAGATCAAAGAGGAGGCTGCGTTAGGCGTTCACCATTCAATAATTGGTAAGCTCCGTGCAATACCTATGCTAAAGAGCAGGCAATCAGGAGATATAATCAGCTGTAACTATATTGTTTGGTCCCCGATAGAGATGTTATTTTTGCATCATCGCCGGGTCGCAATTTTGACGTTCCTAAGTTTAAAAACGTTTTTAGCAAACAAGAAAATAAATAAGTATACTTACCTTTTCCTTAGTCATGGCTGATGGCAATTGGCAGCCATTGTTCAGCTAGACGAGCACACACATCATGCATGACGCCACCGTTGTGTGCCACCTCTGACGTCATTATCGCACCAGAACTATTCAACCAGCAATAAATGGGTGTGAAAACCGCTATTCAACAATGACATTCATCGAAGTGCTTGTATTTGGGCCCATAAATATCGCGATAGCGAAAAATGAGCGATCACAATTCGAGCCGACTGGGTCAAAAATATCCACTGCCGCTTTCATAATTCATCAAGGACCTGCTGTCATCCCATGAAAACATGCTACCGGTCCTGTTATTGCGCGTTAGTTTTGCTTTACGTCATGGGTTTTCCGTGTTGTGTGGTAGCAAAGTTCATAAAAACGGCCAGCATGAGTCCTTTGATTTCCGACCAGCGGCCTTGATCCACTTAATTCGCTCGCAAAAGGTGACGCGTCAGATTTGGGAGTCGCATCGGAAACTAGCGCGTCAACTGGTGTTCGGAAGCCCAGGGGTTCATGTCGCAGGCTTTGTTACACCTGTGGACTCTGAAGTACTTATGTTTCAGGGCTTTGGTGGCCTTTACAGATTGTCGACAGTGCAGGTGGTGCATGTAGGGCAGAGGGTTTTTATTATTAAAATAATTCGGCCAAGACAAAGTGTCTAAGGTTATAAACGTTTGTGAGTGCCATATGGGTGATATGGACGGTAAGCAAGAGCCAATTCTATTCGATATATTAATTCGCCTTCGCTTGCACTTGCCCTACAGGGCTGTAGACATCACCTCTCATATGTCATTTGTCCCATAGAAAAAGGTAATGAAAGCATCGAACCAAGAGCCATTCCGGCTCGGATGAGCGCCAATATATCGCGACCTTCTGGTAATTAAACTGATCATTCGTAGGTAGCTATCGATGCATGTCCAATAACTGCGTCACATACATCCTGGGACAGAACCCAACGACGCGACTCTAAATTTCTGATAATGAAACGTTTCCAATATATTCGTGCGGAAACAACAAACATAGCTTTATATCTCCATTACTAAAACATAGCTTAATAAGTTGTAAGAAATATGGAAAGGGATATAAGAAAACGACTAAGGACAAAACACCGTTGCTGCAAAAGCCACTTCAAATTAACAGCAATGAAGATTCTTCGACATTGACTGAATGATCCTAGGACAAATTTCGACAAGTCTTCATTTGAATTGATTGAACCAGTTCAATGCATGGGCATGGAAAATGAACATATGACGGGCAATCACATGAAAAATAAATTATGACATGTCATCAAAAATAGCAGTTAAAAATATATCATTCTTAACTGTTGAAAATCCGACATCTTTTTTGCAAAGCGCAGTTGACAAATCTTTTCGAATAGTATGCATCCAAAGTTATACGCAAACGTTGACGGATGAATAAATATCCCTAGTATCATTTATCACGGTAATGTGACCAAACTAGAGCCAACCTTCTCCCTTCTGTAGAACATCGCTCCTTAGGATGAACATAGGACATTTTCTAATGTGTGTGGTAATAAAATCAGAGCAACAGTTAGCAACTGCAGTCACAGCATTGTTAAACTCGTGAAAAGCGACTATGAATGAAATACGCGATACATCTCATCATGTCTTCGATACAACGACCCGCTTTCTTTAGACTTGCGTTTTCGTCTTTTGAAGCAAAGATAGCGTTTTTCAGTCGCTTTACAGTCCTGATACTTGGCTTCACGCACTCTCGATGACACAACTCTTGACCACACAAATTCTATGGCGAAAATAAGCGCGCAAAATATGAGCGCGATCGGCATAATGGCGATGACTGCCACCACATCGCCCACGGACATCTCTTTAAACGTGGCCGTGGAGCGACAGATGTCCTTCGCAGCCGTCAGCCAATAGTTCTGCAGGCGCGACACGACACCACTCTCCAGCATCCGCAGCATTAGCGTGTTGATGGCCCGCTTGGTCTGGCCCAGGTCCTGCGCGATGGCCAGGTACTGGGGGTTCCTGGTGGGCTGTCGGCCAAACAGCGGCACCAGGTGACACGCCTCCGGGCCCTGTGAGAACAGCAGCCGGTCCAGGTCGACGAACGTCATGACGTAGGGCTCGGTGGTGCGCCGGCCGGTCGGCCCGCTCAGCTCCAGTCGGATGTAGCTGTCCCCGGTGGCAGCGCGACGGTACAGCTCGCGCTCGTACTGATCACCACTAGCCTTCCAGTCGTTGAGGTTGGCGTATCCGGGCTCGATGGCAAACAGCCAGCCGGGCTCTTCGACAAACTCGCGCAGGCTGGTGATGGGCCGGTCCACCTTGGTGACGGTTAGGTAGGAGATGAGATTGGCAGTGTAAATGGCGTAGATGAGGATGCTCAGCACCCAGCAGGAGACGGTCACGACCCGTGCGGCCAGGGAGCTCGGCGTGCTAGCCCAGCCCTGGTTCACCAGAGCCATGAAGCTGGAGAGCAGGCACGACGACCAGGTCATCTCACTGACGGTCCGCCGGTCCTCAGCTCTGGGGTGGTTGAAGCGCACAGTCACGCGAAGCGCGACCGACATCGCAAACAGGAATGCCAGAATTATCCACCAAACGTCAGCGCTCAGCGGCTTCAGAAGAGCGCTGAAGATACTCGGAGTCATTTCAGGGATCGTCTTTGATCCCTGACGAATGTAGAACGTCGCTGCATCGAACGCCACCGGCACGGCGTCCATGAAATCAATGACCGTCTTGCGGTCGCTGCGCATCTTCAGCCAGGTGAGAGCGACGTCTGCGCGTCCGTAGGCCAGTTCGCCCACTACGCCGGTCCAGGTGCCGTTCTCGGTGACGCTGCCGTAGCCCAGATCCACCACCGGCTGCATCACGTAGCTGAGGTTGAGCTCGCTGGTGATGGCCTCCCACAGCTGGAACAGGTAGCCCTCGTAGTGGTACGAGCCGTTCTGGAGCTGGTGGACGTATAGGTAGGGCGGGTCGTGGCTGGCGAGCACCCGCAGTGGTCGGTCGGGGGTCCCGACCTGCCGCTGCGACCAGCTGGAGCCCGCTGATACAAGGTCACCGTGGTCCTCCATGTGGGGAGTCTAGGGCGACGGGTTCACTCTCGTCTTAGTCAAACTTCTTCTGCTACAGAACTTAAATTCCTTGCTCAAGAGTGAGACGAGAAAGTTGCTAACACCTGACCTCATATCATGAAAAACTGGCCCACAAACTAAGCGCGTCCGTGGGTCACGCGTCCAAAACCATCGCAACTTACAACCACAATCATACCGAGTCGACCATCACCCTCCACTGTTACCGGAGCACTGAGCACCCACCGCGGCGGGGACACGCAGCGGACACGTTACCATCCACGGTCCGACCGTGCTCCAAAGGCACTCGTGTCCGTGCCACCTGCATACGCTCCCACCGTCCGTAACGACACGAGTCCGCATTGTGAGCATATGGCGGTTTGTTTGTGATTAATGGACAATGTACGGCGTATCGAGTGTTTGGTGCGGTGGATGTCACCATAAATATCCAAATAGCTCGTCGTTGCATGATTGTTACCGATAGAGACGGTCGCACATCGATTACAGACGGAGTCGGCGGCTAAATGACATAAAGCGCGTCGCTTTATGCCATTTAGTCGTTAAATTACGTGCCCTGAAAATGAAAGAGTTGGCCATCTTCATCGCAAACTTAGGTCAATGGCCATACGAATGTCTCAATTGCCTTCAATTGAAGACCATTACAAGTTATTGAAGGGAACTAATCAGCTACCCACGAAAGTTAAGTAAAGCGTCGACTGAAAGGATGCAATATTGAGCACTGGTGTAGAAGTCAGACGCACTACTACAGGGTTGGGCAGATAAATTGGGATAAATTTAAACTTCCTCTAAAACGACTATTTTTTGAGTGAAAAAGATAATTTTTGAACATAAATATAGGCTAATGAATACGTTTCCATGTTATGCAGGTTCCATTGTAATTTTGAGTCGGCTGGTCACAGAACGTGGGCTTAAGCAAGCCACTATCAACTTAGTCCGCGCGCACATGCATGCCAATACTCTAATTATGCTCCATCAAATGGCTGAAAGTAGTGTGTATCGAACAGACGTAAACGTTGGAGGAAGATATGATATTGACTCATCCTTAAATACATATGGCATTGACACCGGCCGCTCCCCCGGTTTTCCGGGGGGTCTAAAAGGCAAAATTCAGTTAAATCAGAGGATCCTCGCGAAAACAGTGGCGCGAGCTTACAACGAAGGTAGCCGCGCCATGAGAAAGCGATATACCAGCACCTCAAACATGTACTCTTATGCATTGATGCATATCAACCTGTCAACATAGATGTTGAAGCAGCTGTGACGTTAAAAAGATTGTTTCCTCTTGAAGGGCTTGGAGAAGCGAGCAAGCACGTGCAGGTCTTTTTCGACGATGGTATCCCCATAACCGAACATATGAACAACCGCAAACACCATGCAACATCGCAACCAGCCCAGATGACGTGATCTTAGTTCCAAAAAGCATGCAGCATACATTGGTGATGACATTCCACTCGGTGACTTCTGACGGTCACGTGGGGCCCCCTTGTTTTACGGAATCGGGAGGGGGTTCGCCATTACAGGGTACCTAACCATTACTCCGGCAGTTCGGATCAGCAAGATGGAAGAATGCAACATCCTGCATGGAGTGATGCTGTTCGAGGAGTCAGCTCCCCGGCATACAGTAAATTAGATACAAAATCTCCTGAAACGGAGGATCCCGCGAACTGTACCCAAGGGAAAATGCCCCCTTCCTCATTAAACCCCAGCCTACACAAGTTCTGGTTGTTGGGGCGTTTTTGCGGGTGAGTCTAACGAACGTCCCCTCGTGACTGTGGTGAGCCTCAGCAGTGCCAGTTGGCTACAATTACGAGTCATTTCAGACGGGAGATCTCGCCGCGCGTGCGGCCAGTCCAGGCACCGATTAGTACTGATGCAGGTGGACCACGGTGACCATATTTGGTGATAAACGTGTAAAATTGGTGTGACAATATGTGATTCAAATTTGGAATGCCTATGTTTACAAATTTCTTAGCTACGGCGTTCAAAATGAAAATATGTATTTTGTCCCAATTTATCTGCCCAACCCTGTATACTCGTATTCCCAGCGTAATCCCTGTCCACGGTTGCAACGCTATAAAGTAAACAAATAAATGCATCAGTAGGCAATGTACGTGACAGCACTCTTTGTGGAAAGATAATTGATAACGTTTGATCATTTAACAATCGGCACAATTGAAAGGTACTTTTTAATGAACTACTTCGAAAAGTTATTGAGTGAGGAATGTTGCCCTGTATGAGTCACTGTCACGCATTAGACGAGTGACTGCATTGTGGATTGCATTGGTGCAATATGTGGCAGGAATGCAAGGCCGACAATCAATGACACCATTAAATTCCGTTGTCTCTTGAAAGGCCAACCAAAGGCATGACAGTCAGCAAAACTTTTTGGTAGTTGTTGCTTTTGTGCAAATACAAAGACCACAGCAGTGCTCAACTGCTCAATGCTCGTTGCCACTTTATATAGGACAACAGAGAGCTATCCTAACTTATTAACGAGGAGCATGCATGTCCCCTCATGAATACATAGGGTGTATCATCCTTTAAGAATGAACACTGGATATGGGCGGCACAATTGCACATATACCTAACATACGTGTAAAATTGGTGTGACAATATGTGATTCAAATTTGGAATGCCTATGTTTACAAATTTCTTAGCTACGGCGTTCAAAATGAAAATATGTATTTTGTCCCAATTTATCTGCCCAACCCTGTATACTCGTATTCCCAGCGTAATCCCTGTCCACGGTTGCAACGCTATAAAGTAAACAAATAAATGCATCAGTAGGCAATGTACGTGACAGCACTCTTTGTGGAAAGATAATTGATAACGTTTGATCATTTAACAATCGGCACAATTGAAAGGTACTTTTTAATGAACTACTTCGAAAAGTTATTGAGTGAGGAATGTTGCCCTGTATGAGTCACTGTCACGCATTAGACGAGTGACTGCATTGTGGATTGCATTGGTGCAATATGTGGCAAGAATGCAAGGCCGACAATCAATGACACCATTAAATTCCGTTGTCTCTTGAAAGGCCAACCAAAGGCATGACAGTCAGCAAAACTTTTTGGTAGTTGTTGCTTTTGTGCAAATACAAAGACCACAGCAGTGCTCAACTGCTCAATGCTCGTTGCCACTTTATATAGGACAACAGAGAGCTATCCTAACTTATTAACGAGGAGCATGCATGTCCCCTCATGAATACATAGGGTGTATCATCCTTTAAGAATGAACACTGGATATGGGCGGCACAATTGCACATACACCTAACATAAAATATAGTGCGTAGGACCGGGATTAATTGTTTGCGCATGTCTGTCTTGCATTGCGCATGCTCATCACTTAGACTGCTGGTCAGAAATACCCACGAATCAAGCAGCATCCATCCACAAGACAGCGGATCACCAGTACCACCCCTCACACCGAGTAAAAGCTGTAGTTACCGTAGTATACCGTGACGGGTAACGCTGCAAATAAATCCTCATTTTTTAACCCGCGAGTTGCTGGGGGTGGGGGGCGTTAAACGCCCCCACTTTTTTCGCCGGGCCATAGCATAAAAACGGGGCACCGCAGGCGCGCCAAATTTTGGGTACCTGTAGGGAATTGATTGAAGTTTATTGTGACAAAGTTTCAAAAAAATCGGTCGGAAATTTTTTGAGATATCGAAGTTTTAGTGACGTCACGATTTCTGAGTTTTCGACCAAAAACGGCATATGTTCAAAAACTCATATAAAATCACAGAATAGACATACAGACATGCCGTAAACGCCATTAGACTGCCAATACCATGAACAATCAAATGGCTATCTTCGATTATTGATTATCATTCCGCATTTTCCAAAATCTTGAACTGAATCTTGGCAATTTCTCGTGACTTCTTCACGACCATGATACACGCATTTCTTAAATTGAACTTTTTTAGCCAAACACGTACACATATGGTAAAATGAATGTCACCATCGTGTTCTACGCCCCAAATTACCCATAAAACATGTGTCACAGGCTGGGAATATCAGTTTTCATTTTCGGGGATATGTGCCTGCCCGGTTGACCTGACCTTGACCCTGACCTATGCTTGACTGACCCCTATATGGAGCTGACACTCTTGCAGGCCTTATATGGTGGATTGTGCACCGTTTTGACAGAGTTTATGACGAGAGGCGCCCATTGCGAAGTCCTGAAGTCCATGCTACTGAAAGCCCGATTTCAGGTGTTTGACCTGACCTTGACCTGACCTGTGACCTCAAAATTCAACTTTAAAGTACTCATCTGAAGCGTCTCATCGCGTTCTTTCGTTTGCCGCCTCGTGCGTTTCGCTGCGCCTATTGGTTCTCGAGTTATCGGCTGGGGGCGTTTAACGCCCCCCCCCCCCCCCCCAGCAAACGGTGGGTGGCGAAATACCCCAGCAACTGCCGGGTTAAGAAACTGACCGTACAATAAGAAATGTATGTATGTAGAGAAGAGAGCAAAATAAATACAACTCCGCTTCGAAAAAAAGTTAAGCGCGCTCACCTAACACTCACTCCCTCGACAGTCCATAGTCCACAGTCCACAGTCCTCAGTCCACAGTCCAGTCCACAGCCCACAGTCCACAGTACGCATGTCCACACTCCGCAGTCCGCCTCCTCCTTTCCTCCCCCGCACCGACGACTTGTGCCGACCTCTCTACGTCCTTGCCTTGGGTAGGTTATCTAACAGGCTGATGGCAAAAGAGGTTAATGCATCTGCTTTACAGTATGCAAATGTTAATATAGCAATATGTAATGACGTTGAATTCACGGCCGCAGCTGTTATCAGCTACTGAGCATTCAGTTCCGGAATATCTTGACTTTGTAAAGCGCTCACTCTGGTTGTTTTATGACGACACTCACCATTCAGCATCGCAAGGAGATATACCTGATCACCAGTAGGCATTTAAATTTCAATAAAAATGACAGCATTCAATTTATCACCGTTTTAAATCGAGTTAAAACATGTGA